TCATCCTGACAGTGCCTCCCTATGTTACAACAGATGACTTGTCCTCACCAGAGGACTGTGATGAAGGCACAGTGTGGGTTGAATTGCTCATCCTGACCGTGCCTCCCCATGTCCTTTGGAGGAAGGAGTTTGGTTTTGGTCTCAGAGCTAGGAGGTCAAAACTAGAGATCAACCCCTGCATTGGAGCTCCTTTGCAGAGAAGCAGGCTGTAACCATACTCTCCTCTGTGACTGATGACAGCTCTCCACCTCCTGGACAATGCAGGAAGTGGAGTGGAGTGATACCAGCCAGATAAGGAAACCTGTCTCTGTGTCCTTAAATCTCAATTAAAGCTGAAGGCAAACCTTCCTGAAGTATCTCCTTGATGGCTTCCTTGATGTGTCAGTCCTCAGGAGCAGCCTGTGCTCACACCACGTGGTGGTTTCTCCTCTAGGACTGCATGATCTGCATGGAGAAGCTGTCCTCCCCCTCGGGCTACAGCGACTCGTGCCAGTCCAGCACCATCAGGCCAGAGGCAGTCGGTCGCCTGAGAAACTGCCAGCACTCCTTCCACATGCTCTGCATGCTGGCCATGTACTCCAATGGCAACAAGGTACTGAGCTGGCCCATCCTCACCCTGTGTGCAGGTGGCTGGGCTGTGCAGCTCTGATGTGGCTTCTGTCCCCTGGCAGGATGGCAGTTTGCAGTGTCCCTCCTGTAAAACCATCTACGGAGAGAAAACCGGTACCCAACCCAAAGGGAAGATGGAGATCTCCACTTTCCCCCAGTCCCTCCCAGGACACAAGGACTGTGGGACAATCAGGATTGTGTATCACATCAGCAGGGGCATCCAGGTGAGTGCCCAGTGTGCTGGCACACAGCACAAGCTGGGAGAGCCTCCCAGAAAAGTCCTGGGATCCAGTGCAGCACCTGCTGGCAGCCCTTTGCTGAGCAGCCTGTGGTGCCTGGAGCCAGCAGCTGATCTGGTTGTTCTTCAACATGTGAGGGTCTCCTCCATCAGAGATCTTTTCCTGAGTAGCCCCAGCTGCTCTGATGTCTGCCTGAAGCAGGGAGGAGACTGCCCATGATCCCAAGGTGGGAAACATTTCATGGTCTGGTTTCACGGCTCATGTTGGTTTCAGCGGTGGGAGTGAACTTTCAAAGGTTTGAGCTGAGTGACCTTTTTAAGGTGTTACAAGAACACATGGAAAAAGCAGTGTTTTGGGGCTGTCTCTCACCAGAATTTAGGTAGATTTTAGATCTGGCTTTGTATCCCAGCATGAGACTGCTTTTGGAGGATCTGTAATACTCATGGGTCCTATAAGAACAAGTCACACATCTTGGGCTCACCAGCAATACCTTGCTGCCTCTACATGGAAGAGCTGGTTTGGGATGGGCCTGTGTCAGATCCTGCTGCTGATGGATTGCCCAATTCATCTGAAGATGGATATGTCCATGACAAATCTGTCTCATCTCTTGCAGGGCCCGGAGCACCCCAACCCTGGGATGCCATACACAGCCAGAGGCTTTCCTCGCTATTGTTACCTACCAGACAATGAGAAGGGCAGGAAGGTGAGCTATCACACCCTGGTAACATCACCCTTAAGTTGTCAAGCTCCTGACAAGCTGCATTCATGGCACAAATCTCCTAGCTGCTGCTCCTAGCTTTGTTTTTCCTTTCCCCCTATAGGTCCTGGAGCTCCTGAAGGTGGCCTGGAAGAGACGCCTGATTTTCACAGTGGGCACCTCCAGCACCACCGGCGAGAGCAACACGGTGGTGTGGAACGAGATCCACCACAAGACTGAGATGGACTCAAACCTCAGTGGCCATGGCTACCCTGACCCCAACTACCTGGACAATGTGCTGGCAGAGCTGGCTGCCCAGGGTGTCACCGAGGACTGCCTGGGCCAGTGAGCCTCAGGGGCCACCTAGTGCACTTATTCCTGATGCCTTAAGTTCCCGTGTCTGACCACCCGTCACACTGAGCAATAACAGTTCCGTGGGAGCCCTGCCCGCTCTTCACATTTTTTTGGTGGGGGGGTGTGGGGTTGGGAAGGATATTTTTGTAGAAGCTGGGCTTGTGTCTCTGGGTGGGATTGATGGCTGCAGCCAGGAGCAGCTGGGATGGGACTGAGGTGACAGATGCCCTGTCAGATCCCCTGGGGAAGGCAGGACCTTCCTTTGGTAATGCCTGGGGACAGGATGGGAGAGGAGAGTGCCTTGCTTCCAGTAGACCCCCTGGAAGTCACACAAGGTCCTCCTTTTGGGACACATCAGCTCCCTGTCTGAGGCACCTCTTGCCTCCCTCCTGCTGTGTATCTCTGCTCGGTCCCAATAAACTCTTCATTCTCACAGCAAGACCCTGCTCTGCCTTCCTTTGGGGTGGCTCTCTCTGGGGCACCAGCCTGCTCCATGGAGCCATGGACCATTCATCCAGCCAGGAGGGAAAGCTCAGCTCTGCTGGAGGGACACACATCTCAGTGCAGGCAGGACACTGCTCCCAGGGGTTGTGGTTCCTGCCTGGCAGTGCTTTGGCCACTGGAGTTAGGTGGTCTGTGGCCATGGTGCCAGCAGAGGTGACTTATCAGTGTCCACCCTGTGGGAAACTGCAGCCCTCTGCTCTTGGCTGTGAGCTGCCAGCCCCCTTCCTCTCATCCCAACGATGAGAGGCAGAACCTGTCCCTCTCTCCCCTTCTCTCAGGTGAAATGGCAGCAATTCAGTGAAGCCTTTGCAGGGAAGAGCTGCTGTGCTTTGTGCTGCTGCTGCAGGGATGCTGGTGCCACCAGCTGGTGACAGTCACCTTCCTCCCAGCAGCAGTGGTGGCCAGCCCAGGTGCCAGCAGCGATGCTCTGGCTCAGAGCCTGTTCCTGCTCTGGCTGCTGGCGCCTTGCAAGTGGGATATTGCCCCAGCCCCAGTGGCCGTGCTGTATTGTCCCCAGGCTGCGTGTCATGTGGGAGTTGATGTCTTTTGAAGAGCTGTTTGTTGTCAGCTGGGGACTGATACCTTTTGAAGAGCTGTTTCTGTAGCCACCAGCCCCAGCTGCACATTAAATCCATCCAATCCACCCCTTTGGCACTGATGCCATCTGCCACTTCACCTCCTTCCTGGGAACTCTGGGATGGGGCTGGGCTTTGTGGCAGCCCTACCTTGGCCTCCTCCTGGGGCCAGCACATGCTGGACCAGATAAGGGACACTTTGCTTTCTGTCAGGCCAATATAAAGATTAAAGGTTTTTTTGAGCCATTGAGGGGTGGGGCTTTCCCCAGTGTCCATCTTGTGCCTGCAGGCTCTAAGGAGAAACCCCTCAAACACCAGTGAAACCTGGGCCTGCTGCAGGAATGGCAGCTCCTTGGGAGCTGCAGTGACGTGTCTGTGCTGCTAAGCTCTACACAAATGGGCTCAGTCTGCTCCTCTCCCACCCTGGTTGCAAAAGGGAGAGGTCTTGAGTTCAAACCTCAGCTTTGTATCCCTGGATCATGTTATCCCAGCAATCAAAGCAGTGAATTGAAGCAAAAATTGAAGCAGGGTTCATTCAGCCCTGTAGAAAGCAAGAATTTCCTGCTGAGCCTGGCCTAAGGCATCTCCAGCAGCTGCTGCTGGGTGTGAATCAGCTGGAGCCTCCCTGCATCTGGGCTGGTCCAGGGCAGGGGCACTGGGCTGTGGTGAGCCAGCCAAGCTCAGCAGCTCAGCCCTGACTGCCCTGTTTTTGGACACGAGGCATCTCCTAAAATCCTTGCCTTCTCTGTGCTGGGGGATCCCAGGGGTGCAAGGGAACAGAGCCAGGTGCTCAGGCATGATGGCACAGGGAGATGCTTTGAAAGGTGGGGAGAAAGTATAACCATGGTTCCTCTCGGAGCCAGGAGGGGACAGAGCCCCAAATAAAAGCTTATGATGCTCCCAGGCACATTTCACCAAAAGCCTTGTGTCCCCCATCCCCAGCTGGAGCCCCAAGGAGAGGAGAGGGAGGTGTCTCTCCCAGCCCCGCGGGGATGGCTCATCTGCCACAGGGTGGTTATTATTAGCCCAGCCTTGACCCCGCAGCTATGCTGGGTACCGCCAGCTGAAACTGAGAGGAGATGTCCCCCTGCGTCACCCCCCTGCGTCACCCACCCTGCCTCTCACCTTGCTGCTGGCACCTTGCCGGCCGGGGAGCACCAGGGAGGGTCTGGGGGAACTGGGGGCGTCCCCGGGGCAGGTGTTGCTGGACAGGTGTGGGGGATAAGAACGAGGAGGGATGGAGGCTGCAGCTGCGCCTGTTTTTCCCCTCTGCAGCTGGACGATGTAATAATCTTTGAATGCCCCATTTCCACTTAATCTGAAGGCGCGGTCCCGGCCCCTTGGCAAGGGGGGGAAATCTCCTCCCACGCAGGAGCGAGCAGCCGCTCCCCTTGGCAAGCACGGGGAAGGAGCGCTCCGAGCCTGTGCGGGGGGAGCGGCGCTGAGGGGCTCCCGAGCCGCGGGCACTCCCTCTCCCTGCCCCCATCCCAGGGCTTGGAAGGGCTACGAGAGATGGGGAAATGTCAGCGTGGGGTGGCCCCAGAGCTGAAAAGGCTTCCGCGCCCCTGGTGCTGGGTGCGACCGTTCACCTGAGCGCTGGATTTGGGTTAGTCCGGGTATGATGCTCCCCAGCGCTTCCCTGCCCGCGGGGCAGGGCTGGCGGCGCCAGAACCAGTCAGGCACGGGCTCACCCCTGGCTCTGGGGCCCTGGTGGGCACAGGGCATCCGCAGGGACTTGGGTCTTGGTGGGGCGCGTGGGGGTCCAGGACGATTTGCCTGGCTGCCCCCATAGCGCCAACAGAGTGTGAGTCCTGCCAACCCACCCTGGAACATCACCCCAGAGCCTCCTCTGCCTGTTTCCCCTTTCACATGACTGTCCTGTGCCCTGACTCCTCGCAGGTGCCTCGGGGGTCCTGCAGGACGGTTCCCAGCGGGTTTGGGACCAGCGGGTGCCTCGGCGTGCTCAGCTGTCCCCTCTGCCCGCGGGCTCCGGCCGGGCCGGCAGAGCCGGTGCAGGAATGCGGGGCTGGGAGGCTCCGACTCCGGCACAGGCGGTCCCTGCTGCGGGGGCACCGGGGGCAGCTCGTCCCCTCGGCAGTGGGACGGGGTGAGCTGAGCAGCACAGCACAGCACATCCAGCACCACCAGGACGACGCCATGGAGCTGCCGTGGGTGCTGCTGGCGCTGGCTGGGACGGGCGCAGCCGCGGACCTGGGTGACTCTCTGGGGGACAGGGCAGAGGGGGACAGGGCCGGGAGGGGCTGAGAGGTGTTTGTGCCAGGGAGGGCTTATGGGGCTGTGCATGGCTGGGGGGTCACCACCAGTGCTGTCCCCTCATGCTGGCACCTCGTGACAGCCCCGTGTGCCAGCCCTGCTGTGGACGCGGGGTCAGCACCTGCTGGGCGGTGCAGAACGGGGGGGTCCCCTGGCTCACTGCCCCCTCCTCCAGCCCGGCTGCCCTACGTGCCCCAGGTGCCCCCCATGGCACTGCTGGGCAAGGTCACTGCCACCACCTTCGCGCTGGAGAGGCCCCGCTGCGTCTTCGACGGCCACGCCGAAGCCTCCGACGCCGTTTGGCTGGCGGTGGCCTTTGCCAACGGTGAGCGCTCGCTGCTCCAGCACGTCCCCCCTGTGGCAGGGGACATGGGGGACCCTCACCGCAGCCTCTCACCCGTGCCTGCAGCATCGGCCGCCTTCAGAAACCCCCAGTCGCGGGCTGAGGTGCCCCCGTACCAGCAGCTGCCCTCTGCCCGCTCCTACATGACGCTGGAGACGGCGGCGGCCGCGTTTTCCTGCTGGGCAGCGAGCCCGCCCGTGCTGCGGGTCGGGGCTGACACGGCGTGCAGGGAGCAGGGCAGGCAGGACCCCTGCAATGGGCCCCTGCCCTCCCCGGGACCCTACAGGTAAGGCCAGGAGCCCCAGATCCCCCCAGCTGGGGTGACTCGCCAGCCAGGGCCTGTTCGCCCCCCGGTGTCAGCCCGTACCCGCGGCAGGGTGAAGTTCCTGCTGATGGGCTGCGGCGGCCCCAAGGCGGAGACGCGCTGGTCCGAGCCCATCCTCCTGCGCACAGGTCCTTGTGGCACTGCCACCCCCCGCGGGTCCCCTGCACCTCCCTGGCTGGGGTGGTGGCACAGCATCAGCCCTGTGCCATCACCCCAAAAGCTGCGGGAGAAGCGATCCCCCATCCCACACCCACCCCGTACCCCTCATCCCGCCTCCTTGCAGCCGTCAGCCCGAGCGCCATCGCCGCCGTGCCCGCCCGCCGGGGCAGTGCCGTGGTGGTCATCGCCTCCATCCTGGCCAGCCTGGGCGCCGTGCTGGCCACCGCCGTGCTCGGAGCCCTGGGGTACGGGGGGCTACGGGGGGCAGCGTCTGCAGGGGCTTCAGGAGAGAGCCTCAACTTGGCAACCCCATCAGCAAGGAAATGGAGGTCTTTTTAACATTGAAAAAGACTTTTTATTCCTAAATTGGGGGTTTGCCGGAGTTTGCAGGAGAAAAGGCTCCTTGGGGGTGGCTGGTGCAGAGCCCCACAGACCCCACTGGATGCCTCTGTCTCCTGCAGTGCCAAGGCGTGGGGCTCCCGGTGCCACCAGGGCTTGGGGACCGACGCCTTCATCCGCAGATCCTACCGGACCCACCACATCCCCCCGGCCGCGCCCCAGCCCCTGCCCCCCGGCTGCGGGGGCGGCCCCCCAGGGCTGTGCTGCTCTGCCCCCCAGCCCCCTGCTCCGTGTCAGAGGATCATGGAACAGTTTGGGCTGGACGGGACCATAAATGGACCAGCTCGTTTCAACCCCTCTGCCACTGGCAGGGACACCTTGCGCTAGACACGAACTGTCCTGGCAAGTAAAATCTGATTTTCCATCTGCAGCTGTCTCCTCCTGGTCTTTGGCCACGCAGGGTGGGACTGTGAAGATGGGGGACCTCAAAAACCATGTTTGGCCCTGGCTTGGTGGTACTTGGTGTCGGTGTGGGGGGCACTGGTGGGTGTGTGGGGCGCATCACCACGGGATATCCCCTGTGCCGGGTGACGCTGTCACCCACCCATGCCACAAACGCAGCGGCTCTCAGCACGCCTCGCCGGCGGGCGCTCAAACATAACAAAAGCTGCCGGGGAAACGAGCCCAACCTGTTTGCCACGGGGCTGCGGCCCTGCAGGAATGTGGGCGGTTGGTGACCACAGGCGGCTCCCGGGGGACGCGGAGCCCCAGCCGCACTCCCGCCCTCGGCACCCAGGAGCCCGCACCATGCTCCCGCTGCTCCTCCTGCTCCTGCCCGCCGCACACGGCATAGGTGAGTCCAGCCACGCCATCGGGATGGGCTCGGGACTCCCCTCGGCACTGCGAGGGGACTCTGAGTTCCGGCCGCAAGTTTTTTGTTTTCTTTGAGCTGTCTATTTAAAGCTACCATGTAGGTGTTGTGGCTGGAACGGGCATTGTGCACAGGCACCAGGACCCCGCGGAGCCTGGAGGCGAAGGGCAGCTGATGTGCCCTTTTCTGGGGCCTGTTATGGTGTCACCTCCAGTCTCTGGTGTCACTGATATTGGTTAACTGGCACAGTGTGGGCTTCTCTGAGGTCCCCACTGGAGTCCACCAGGGCTCCCCTGAGCCTGGAGGCAAAGGGCAGCTGATGTCCCCCCATTCTGGGTGCCACCCCAATTGTCCCTGGTGTCACCCACCCTGGTCCTCTGAGTGTTCCCCCGCGGCTGGGAGCATGGGATGTTTTTCTTCCTCTTTTAACGCAGCACGTGTCTGAGCCCACACTGGGGATGGGAGGGAGTGGAGGCCCCACTGCCAAAATCCCGGGGCTCAGCTCCCTTCTGCCCCTGTCCCTGTCCCCACCCCGAGCCCCGGCACCGCCGCCGCCGGTCAGAGCCTCGGTTCCGGGGCTGCAGAGGGGGATCCACATCCCCACCGCACCCCCCGCTTCTCACCGCAGCCCGGCTGGGGCCCAGGCCAGCCCTGACCCAGGAGCAGCTGGAGGGGCTGACAACCGCCTCCACCTTCGTGCTGGAGCAGCCTCGCTGCGTCTTCGGAGAGTACGGCAACGCCGTCATCTGGCTGGTGGTGGCCCTGGAAAAGGGTAGGTGCGAGCAGCCCAGGGCAGGGGGCGTGCAGGGGTCCCTGAGCCCCCCACCAAGTCCCTCCTGACCCCCATCCTCATCCTCACCCCCATCCCTGCAGATGCATCCGCTTTCAACAGCAGCAGCGCGGTCCCGGGGACTCCCGAGACCGCATTCCAGAGCTTCCCTGACCCCGTCCGTGCCTACATGACCCTGAATGCCACCCTGAGCAGCTACCCCTGCCCCAAACCCCCCGGGGACATCACGGTGCTGCGCGTGGGCAGCGAGACGAGCTGTGCCCAGGACACGACGAGACCCACGTGCAATGGCCCCCTGCCCGGCCCCGGGCCCTACCGGTGAGCCTGCTCGAGGGACTGCCCCCTCCAGGGCTGCCCCCCGGCCCACGGGACCGTGGCCAACCTCCCTTCCCATCTTAGGGTGAAGTTCCTCGCCCTGGAGGGCTCCGTGCCCGTGGCTGACACAGAGTGGTCGATGCCAATCATGCTGAGGACAGGTACTGGCACTCGTCCTGCCCCACACCCAGTCCACAGGGGGATACGGGGTGATCCTGGGCGTGTGGGGTGGCCCCAGGGGGCTGAACGCTGGGCAGCAGAGGTTTGGGGTGAGGGCTCCTGTGAGCAGCTGGGGAAACTGAGGCAGGGCTCTGCCGCGGATGTCACTCGTGACACCATGTGACGGCACGTTGGGCTGGCACACACGAGCACACCGTCACCCCTCCGGACCCCTGAGCCACTCCGGGGTGTGTGTCCCTCCATCCTGCTCCTCTCCTCCTTCTCCCTCCCCAGCCAAATCACCCAGCAGCATCCCCACGACGAGCGGCGGGCACAACGCCGGCATGATCGCCATCGCCACCATCCTCTCCATCCTCTTCGCCATCCTCCTGGCCGGGCTGGTGGCCATGCTCGTCTTCTGGGGGTGAGTGCCACCACCTGGGCGTGCTGGGCACGCTGGACCGGCGTCCGAGGGTGACACCGTCATCGCTCGGTGCCCACCCTCATCTCCTGGCCCGCCTTCCCTCCCCAGCTCGGACTCCTGCGGCGGCAGCAGCTCCTTCAGCAAGCCGGAGTCGGTGACGGTGCGGCGGTACAACACCCACCACGTCTACGACCAGCCCGCCGCCCGGCTCTGAGCCCCCGCCGCGCCTCCCGCGCCCCCCGTGCGGGGGTGAATGCCCCGCACCGCTCCGTCCCCGCGGGTGACACCAGCCCGCCGCCGCGGGGACACGGCCGGAGCCGCCCCCCGGCACGGGCCGGTGCAGAGGGACATTAAATAAAGGCTTTTCCGCTTGCTTTGTGCCCGGCCTGTGCCGCCTGTTTGTGACCCCTCGATGTCCCCAGCAGCCCCCGGAAAGCCCCCCGGGCCCTGCACCCCACTGTGAGCCCCAGCGCGGGTGGAGGGAGCTGCTGGCAGAGCAGGGCGTGCCCGGGATGCTCTGCAGTGGGAGACGCTGCCACACCCAGCTGGGGCATCGATCTGTGCCCACTTCGGACGGGGAAAAGCCCCCTGGGTGCAGGGCAGAGAGGGGAGCCTGACCCCCAGCCCTGCTGCTACCGTGAGGTGGGGTGGCTGTGGGGGGTGCTTCTCCAACCCCTTTTATCCCACAGTGCTCTCTCCCTGATCAAGCCCAGAGGAGGGGCTCCCACACCCCGAAGTGACCCAATCCGTCCCGGGTGCAGCTCGGGTTCCTCTGAGAGCCATGAGAGCCCAAAAGGGAGCCGGCACCCCGGGGTGTCTGATCCTGCACCGGGGATATCCCTGAGCCCCATCCTGGGGGATGTGGGGCTGATCCTGCATCAGGGGATGTCCCTGAGCTGGATCCAGGGGACGTGGGGCTGATCCAACACCGGGGATATCCCTGATTCCGATCTGGGGGATGTGGGGCTGATCCTACACTGGGGGTGTCCCTGATTCCGATCTGGGGGATGTGGGGCTGATCCTGCGCTGGTGAGGAGTGGGCTGGGGCGGGGAGGGGAAGCTGATCTTGTTCCAGCGGCTGGAAGGGATCGGCTCCATCCCTGCTGATCCTGCAGCGGGGTGCGGGTCTCTGGTGCTGCTCTCAGGGCTGTCCCGCAGCCCGGGCAGGATGCGACCCCGCTGGTGCTGGAGACCATCCCGCTGCGGGTGGATTCGGGGCAGGCGTGTGTCCCTACGCACATCATACACGAACATTAAAAGCCCCGTTTTCCCCCGCAGGCGCCGCGCCAGGGGCAGCATCACCCTGCCAGCGCAGCGCGGTCACAGCGCCCTTTCGGGGTGTCCTTGTGCCGCCGGGGGGGTGCTAGCAGCCTGCCCCCCGCTGCCGGAGCCGCCCCCGTGGAGCCCGGCCAAGGGAAATGAAGCAAATCCAGCGATTAACTCCTGCCGAGATCAGCGTGGGAGCAGCAGGATTGTTCCACCCGGCAAAGGCCGGTGCTGTCCGCCCTACACCCCGCGCCCCGAAATAAAATAAATAAAATAAAACAACTGCTTCACCTGCAAAGGGCTCTGGGGGTGTCACCTGCCACGCGTGCCTCGCTGCAGGTGGCACATGTGGCCCCGACCGCCCGTGGCGCTGGAGCTGGCACACGGGGAGGCTCCTGGGGTGGTGGCGGGGCCCGCACCTTGTCCCCTTGCTGTCCCCCTGTGCGGGGGAGGCAGAGGGGCAGCGCTGCAGGAACAGAGCGGTGTGTTCCCAGCGTGTCCCCGCAGCGTCCCCACGGTGTCCCCGCGGCGAAAATGCCAAGGACCATCCCCGGCGGCACGGCCCTGAGCCCCAGCTTTGGGTGGGTCTCGCCATGGGGGGGGGTTCCCCGACCCCCGCTGCTCTTTAGGGCACCAAGCACCCAGAAACGCCCCCTGCCCTCGGGTGCGCTGCGGCCGGAGGCGGAGTGCACTAAAAACAAACAAAAACCAGGTTAAAAATCAGTAGAACGGGGGAGGTTTGGGGTGCGGAGCAGCGCGGCCGCTGCTGTCCCCAGGTTCGGGGGCGCGGAGGGGGTCGGGGGGGTTTGGTCCGACCCAGGCGGGCTGGGCAGGCTGGGCTGAACTGCCCGGGAGCCGCGGGCGGTGCCGGGGACTGAGGGACAGAGGGGACCGAGGGGACAGCGGAGACAGACCGGGGACAGAGCGGGGGGACCCCGCGGGACCCCGGCAGCGCGGGGAGCCCGGCCCCGCCCACCCGCACAGGCCACACCCCCTGACTGACAGCCGATAGGATCACCCAATGGGAGCCGCGGATGTGCTCTGGGCCACGCCCCTTTCCCCGCCCCCGCGCGCTGATTGGCGGGCGCCGGCGCCGGCCCGCACATGGGCGCTGTGCTCGGGGCCGCGGGTTCGAGCCGCGCTCGGCGCCGTTTGGCTCGGCTCGGCTCCGCTCGGCTCCGCTCCCGCCCGCCATGGCCAGGCGCAGCGCCCTCTCCATCCGCATCGTGGAGGGCAGGAACCTGCCCGCCAAGGACATGTGAGTGCCCCCGCGGCGGCCGGGAGAGCTTCGGGGCGGGGGCATCCCGAGGGACTCGCCGCTTTCCCAGGGGGGCTGCGGGGTGACCCCCCAACAGGTCCCTGGTGGGGACACCACCCTCGGGGTGGCCTTAGAGCCTCCTCCCTGCTTTGGGGGCTTGCCCAGAATGGTTTGGGGGCCCCCCAGCAGTGCATGTGGTTTAGGGGCTCACCCCATGCGGGTTTAGGATCCCCTTTTGGGGTGTCACCCCTCGGGCTGTTCCCTCCAGGATGGCTTTGGAGTCGCCCTGCATTGAGGATTCCCCCCAGGGTGGCTTTAGGGTCCCCCCCAGCAGTGTGTTTACTTTGGGGGTTCCCTTCAGGCTAGATTTGGGGTACCCCTCCAGCAGTGCATCTGCTTTGGAGGTTCCCCATAGGGTGGCTTTGGAATCCCCCTTGCTTTGGGGGTTCCTCCAGGGTGGCTTTGCTGTTTCCTTGCTTTGGGGGTTCCCCCATTGCGGTTTTGGGATCCGCCTCGTTCTGGGGGTTCCTTTCAGGACATTTTTGTGTGCCCCCAGCAGTTCTCAGCACTCTGGGGGCTCCCTCAGCAGTGCTGTGATTTGGGGACCCCCCGGGATGGGGCTGAGGTTTCCCCCCGTGCTGTGGGACTCCCCCAGCCGTGTTTTGGGTACCCCAAGCAGCGCTCCCACTTGGGGGGCTCCCCCTGTGCTGCCACCACGGAGGGACCCTCGCAGGGACCCCCGGACGCGCAGCAGGACCCGCTACATCCGTCCCCAAAGGAGCAGAGGCTGTCCCAGGGCTGTGCCCCCATCCCAGCCGGCTGAGGTGCGGGGGGCAGCCCTTGGGTCGGGATTTCCCTCCCAGAAATTCCCGGTGCTCCTCTCATCGCTCTGATCCCTATGGGGGGATGTGGGGACAGCAGCGGGGTGGCCCAGCCGCCACCAAGGCAGCGGGAAGCTGCTGAGGAGCGCTCGGCAGCCGGAAAACCAACAAAAATCCCTGCAGCCGTCATGGAAAAAAGAGGATAAACAAGGAAAGAAACATGACTTTTTTTTTTCCCTTTCTTTTTTTAAATCCCGTGTGTCAGGGCCTGATTTTTAAATCCCTTGGCACAACTCCCCGCCGGAGCTTGACCCAGCACGGGCGGGCTCTGGGTTTTTTTGGGAGGTTCTGGGTTTTGGGAGAGCCGGAAAGCGCCTGGAGCGGAGCTTTCCGGACCGGTGCTTTGGGACGTGGCTGGGCTGGGGCAGAGCGAGGGAAACCCGAGCGCGACCTTGGCCGAGGCTGCCCCGGCCCCCGCCCGCCGCGCAGCCCCGGGGATCCGGTTCCCGGCCCTGGCACCGGTTTGGGGATCGCTGCTTTCCTCCGGGAATTCCCTCTGCGGGGTGTCCCCGCTGCACGGGCAGCTCAGCCCCTGCTGGCGACAGCCGGGGGTGATGGAGCACCCCCAAATCCCCGTGGGAACCCCCAGATCCCACAGGATTTGGCTCAGGGAGTGACTGGAGCCCCCCCAGCTGAGGCTGCCAAATGTTCTTTATCCCAGGGAAGCAAGGGAAAGGGTCTGCCTGATTTTTTTGAATGGTTTTAATTTTTTAATTTACTTTATTTAGTATTGATTTTTTAATGTGACATGTAATTTATTTCATTAGAATTTCTGATTTATTATTTATATATTTTATTGATTATTTTAATGTTAGGATAATAAATAACGCAAATAATTTTTAATCTTTAATTTATCCTAATCTATTCTATTTTTATTTCAGTATTTTCACTTTTTAACTTTTCAGTTAATTATTTTTTAAATTATTTTTATTTCCTTTTTGCCCTTTTCCCTTTTTTCCACTTATTTATTATTAATTTCTTCACTTATTATTCCTTGTTTTGTTTTATTATTTTATTTTATTATTTTATTTTATTATTTTCTTTTTTCTTTTATTTTTTCTTTTTTAAAATTATATTTTAAAATTCTTATTCAATTTTTCTTTTTATTTATATTTTTATTCTACTTTAATTTTCTTTGATTTTTTAAATTCTATTTTTCTTTTCTTTTTAAAAAATTCCATTTTCCTTCAATTCATCATTCTATTTTCTCTTTCCTTTTTCAGTTCCATTTTTTATTTAAATTTTTATTTGCTTATTCTCACCACCCCCCGGGGCAGAGCAGCGCTGCTGCCTACACCAGTTAATTTTTAATTCCATCCCTGCGCGGCTCTGCTGCCGGAGGGGTGGCTGCGGGTTCCTTCCCCCTTCCCCCAGTCCTGCCTGGGCTCATTTCCTCTTTCCGAAGCCCTTCTCCTTTCCAGCTCCTTCCCCGCAGCCAGCGGGTGCCCAGGCCAGCCCCGCACCCCCCGCGCCCGCGGTGTCACCAATCCCTGGCGACATCCCGGCCCGCGGATGCTGCGCGGGCGGTGCCACCCCGCGCCTGCCTTTGGAGCGGGGATTCCTCTTCGCCCAAAGGCTGCGCGGCGGCTCGGGCGGATTCTGCCCATCCTGTCTTTGAATCCCTGACAAACGCCACGCCTGGGTGGCTCCCCGGCGCGCTGGGTGTCCCCGCGCTGGGGACAAGGTTTGCCGCTGTCACCGCGCGTTGCCGGGCGCAGCCGGAGCGCGCAGCTGCTCCCTTTCCGCCTGCCCGCTCCCGGCAGCGCCGATGGTTTGCACAAGGCAGGAAATGTCAGCAAGGGGCTCCGCTCAGTGGCAATTCAGCCACGGCTCTCCTGAGAAATCCTCT